CTCAAATATATACCTCCATCCATCTTTGTGGCAGAACAAGCACTCTGACAGCAAGCTCTTTCCTCAATTTATATTGTTATTTACGTTTTTCCTTTCACCAACATGCACACGATAAACAGTCCCTTTGAAATATCCATTTTCAAATTTACGATCTGGCTAAACAGAACTTTATATAACGAAATTCACGCGTTCATCATCCACGAAAATTTTCGCACCTGTTCTCATAGACAGTTGTCCGCGTTGGCCAATTTTATCCGATCGCGTGAGTTCTTCATCCTCAGAAGACAAAATCCGTACCTCGTATGCTCTATCGATGGATTGAGACAAGAAAAACCGTACAAAAGACTTAAATTTAACTCACAATAAAATAAAAACAAATCAACATATCTGTTTGAAAAATTTCGTTTTGTTTTGTCCCGCGACAATCTCGATTCGCGACACGCATGCGTAATGATATATAATTGCTTTACCGCTGAGCAGACTATAAATTTAGCATGAATTCAAGAAGAATTTATGTTTATTTTATGTAAATATTGGTGATAAATAATAGTATTGGCATTATTTAGTGTGATTCAAAACAACACAAACGCCATAAGACACAAATACTACAAGGCCCTGTGCCCCATTTTTGTTCGTTCCCAATCGTCGCCATTGCGGGCGCCTCACGATAACCCCCCCCGAACCAGGGCGCTTATATATACAGGGTGTATAAAAAAAAACTGAACAGATTTAAAATTGCTCTCAATTTCGCAAAACAGCTATTTGTATCTGGTTTTTTATATATATAGCTTCTTTGGTTACTTATAATGTAAAATAATGAAAAAAATTTCTCGAACTCAAATTTTGTGAACCAGGGGGGTGTGTCTTTTCCAACAAACTAAAAATGGCTCGCGCACAAAATTTAAAAGCTGCAATCATATTTTGAGTCAACAGATGGAAAATTTGTCGGGATTTTAATTACTGTACAAAATTTCAGACAATTTGGTTTAGTTTAAGCCCCTTAACTATTCACGCAAAGTTACAATT